AACCAACCAATGACTAACTAACCAACTGACTGACTGACTGACTGACCGACTAACTGACTGACCAACCGACTGATCAACCCGACCGACCAACCCGACCGACCAACCGACCAACCAACTGACCAACCAACCGACCAACTGATGACTAACCAACCAACCAACTGACCGACCAACTGACTGACTAACCAACCAACTGACTAACCAACCAACTGACCAACCAGCTGACTGACCAACTGACTAACTGACCAACCGACGGATCAACCGACTGACCAACCGAACCAACTAACTAACTAACTGACTAACTAACTAACCAACCAACCGACCAACCAACTGACTAACTGACCAACTGACTAACCAACTGACTAACCGACTGACTAACCAACCAACCAACTAACTAACCGACTAACTAACCGACCGACCAACCAACCAACTGACCAACTGACTGATTAACCGACTGACTAACTGACCGACCAACCCGACCGACCAACCCGACCGACCGACCAACCCGACCGACCAACCAACTGACTAACCAACCAACCAACCAACTAACCGACTAACCGACTAACTGAATGACTGCCTAACCAACTGACTAACCGACCGACCGACTGACTAACCAACCAACCAACGAACTAACCGACTAACTAACCAACCAACTGACTAACCAACCAACTGACCAACCAGCTGACTGACCAACTGACTAACTGACCAACCGACGGATCAACCGACTGACCAACCGACTGACTAACCAACCAACCAACTAACTAACTAACTGACTAACTAACTAACCAACCAACCGACCAACCGACCAACCGACCAACCGACCAACCGACCAACCGACCAACCGACCAACCGACCAACCGACCAACCAACCAACCAACCAACCAACCAACCAACCAACCAACCAACCAACCAACCAACCAACCAACCAACCAACCAACCAACCCACCAACCGACCAACCAACCAACCAACCAACCAAGATCAAACCAATCGTGATACCTTAACACAGTTGACATTACCACCAAGCTAGGTTGACTTACATCGAAGATAGAGAATTATGTACGGGTTTAAATCAAGCCTATATACTATATATGCCAGCTGAAAGTTTGTTCACACTACCCACCAGCCGAAATAGGGCTGAGATCAAATCAAAGCTTCTATATTGACATGCTTTATGCATCATTGCATGGGCATGCATGCAGTTACCTCCTTTAAGTCCGCCATTATCACTCTCCGGACCTGTGTTCCGAGATGTTGTATTTCCCGAGTGAAGATACCATGATTGATTTACATTATGCCATATACACCATCCTGCTTCATCGTCAAAATCGCAGTCATCTGGGCCTAGGTTAGAACAAGGCAAGTAAATACATTTAAAAAATTACGTTATTTACCACTGTAAATAGCATATGTTTTTTTATAACAAAGGCAACGGAGGCCATAACAGAGGAATCAAGTAATCAACAGTGTTGGCCGATGTTTCAAGAATTTGAAAAAATCTATTGAAAAATTTGAGAGGCGGGTTTGGATGTGAAAAGAAAACCTTAGATCTGAAGGTTTACACTAGAGATATATGCTGCAATTACAGTAGACTAAAGACACGCAGGTTGGCTTCAATGTGATTCACACGGCCACACACCTTTGCGAGACTTTCGTGCCTTTAATCCAGGTTCTGGCCAATTTTTTTTTAATTGTTCCGCTTCATGTCAGAACTTTCGTTGTGCATGTAGGCCTATATTAACACGCAAGGATGTCGAAATGGTCCGTACATTACTGTTGAGCTATTGAGGTTATATCTGTACTATTAAAAACAAATACCTAAGCTGCACTTCTTATAAAGGCACGTTTTGTCCTGTTCTCTAACGCCAGTACAACTTTTCCCGCCATAGTTTGAAGGCGGATCTTCACATTTTCGTGTCCGCTGCTTCTTTCCAGAACCACATGATGAACTACACGCTGACCATGATGACCAACGGCCCCAATGACCATCCACTGGGGCTAAAAAAATAAAAGCAAATAAAGTTGTCAAGAAATTCTTGTTAGTATATGTTTGAGAATATTTTTGGTAATATTTTTGGCAAGTTTCTCATCTATAAGTTCCACGGTGTATTAGTTGTGGTTTGGGGGTGGAAGGAGGAGGGCTTAAAGGGGCTTGTTAAATGCCCTCCTTGTTAAAGTCCTTTTAAGTTCGGGTGCTCGTCGAAGATTTCGGTGAAAAAGAAGCGGATGATAGTATATTTCTACGGAACGGAAAGGAGAAGTTTATCACAAGAGCCCACTTCTCTTAGACTCCAGGCATGTAGAATTTTGTGAAAATATCTGGCGTGGGGTTGTGCTAATGTTGGAGCATTGGCGTAACTTCAGCTCAGTTTGGCAGTTTTCCGGCGCAATATGGAACTTTAAAAGCAGAGGTATATTGATAATAAATCAGTAAATCAAAGTAAATTACAAAGTTTGTCCCTCGTTTTCTAAGCCTCGAAGGAAGTGTTTTGAGCCTCGAAGAATTGATTTTTTCTTTAAAATAGTACTGGCAAAATAATCAGTAAACAGCCTTGGCGGATGTTGGCGGCAATTGCTTTGACTCACTCTGGCGTGAGAATAACATGGCATCCATCCTTGTTTAGGTTTGATACAGGGGCGTAAGTTTGGACCAGCCTGCCCCTGGTAATACCGGAATTGGGTGCCCCAAAGCAGGGTATCCTAGATATCCTTTTGAAGTACAGTACCATCGGAAGCTCTAACAATATGAACATTTTGCTGGTCGTTTACAAGCTAATTTTAATGGTGTCTTGAACTGGAAATATAAATATATAGCAAAATATACAACGAAAAACCACAACTATGCAGAAATAACACCATGCAGAAATTGTTTTTCACATAAACAGTGAAATGTTTGCCACTTTACTTATGCACGTATACAACCTTAGATGAACAAGGCCGCCGGACAACTCAGTTCAGGCCCCCCCCCTGGAAGCCTATTTGCCTGGGTGCCCCCGGCACTTACCGAGTAGAGCTCATAGGAGTTACGCCAACCTCCGTCGCAGGGACTTTCCACCGGCTGGGAAAGACCCTGCTATAGGCTGGTCACGTGTCTCCCAGAATCTGGTAGATAACAAACAATTTCAATTAGGGTGGGTACCTAAGTACGTTTTGTCATTGAGCAAGGAGTGAGCGTAGAAATAACCCAGAAATCATGCAGGAAATATTTACAAAATTTGTATATTTTATTTGTCATGAATACTATCAATGTTACACAACAGTAAATATCAAATTTCATTGTGCGCAGAATGTCGGTGAGCAAAGATAGATCAGATTTCAATAGACAAATTATGCCGATACAGCTCGTCGAAGAAATCAACACGTCGCAAACGTTACAAGAAAATATATTTCTACACCAGTACCGATCGATGTGGCTGTTATTTAGCTGTTGGTGTCTATCCTAAACTACAAGGATTTATTTAATACTGAGATGTGTAACGAAATATAGAGATCGTTTGATTTCTGAAATATCGCAAACAATGTTGCTGGTAAACAATGGTACTCGGACTGCTGAAACTTCAGAACAATCCTCAGAGATCGAAAAACCAGAATCTGTTGAAACTTGATGCTCAAGAAATATGTCGAAGTATACCTCCCTGTTATCAAACCTACGGTAAAATAATCCGACAATAGCCTACTCAAAGATAGGTCAAAGACTCGTTTGTGCGTGTATGTTTACAAATACGAATACTGTATATGTTTGACATTTAGGAGTTAGGACATTTAGAGAATGCAGTCCGCATCATAAATTTGATAAAAAGCTTTAATTGTGACATTAGCTTTACTGTAATGAAGTACTTTGTGATATATATATATATATATATATATATATATATATATATATATATATATATATATATATATATATATATATATATATATATATATATATATTGTTATCGACTTTTAACTGGAGTTGCACTTGTTTTGTATTTTGCTAAAATACTCAGTGGTTATGTTTTTAGCCTCAATGTGTTTAGCTAGCTAGGATTTCAATATTATAAAATTCCTGATAGTCCCTAATGCAAGCTTTCCTATTGGAATTTTATCCCAAACAGCAATAGTTCGCGCTTCAACTGGACGCCCGGGTGACTAGTTTTCGTTTCAGAGCGCAAAGCTTCATGGGATAGCATTGTTTTATTTGTGATAAAAAATATTTGGTATGGTCACTGCGGTGCTTGGAATATTTCGTTGATGTTTTTAATCCAAGCGGCGGGAAAGGAATCGGAAAGTTCTTAACATGTTATTCAGATGTCACAGGTAAGAATACTTTTGTATTTGACTTATTATTTAAGCCCTTTAATTGCGAAATAATGTGGTGAATATGATTGTTAACTTGAGCCATGTGGGCCATGTGTCTTAAAATTCCGTTGAATGTTTGAATTTGCCGCGTCAATTTGCATATAAAACACACAAAATGTTGGTTTCTGGCAGTAAAGAAAGAATGAAATATAAATTCGAACCTATTATTGTGAATTCTATACTAAATTTCACACTATTATTAACAATTTAGCAATATTTTCTTTGGCATAATTTGGCACTTTGCTTAAAGTTAAGACTATTGTAAAGCATTTTAATACTTCAATAAGCATTGGAATCAGAGAGGAACGACAGCATTAAATGTGCTATTTTTAGTGTATCGATAATCAATCTTTAGTGTCCTCTACTGTATTTGCATTACTCTGTCTAAATTGCATTGCAAGATGATTTTACTTGTCAAGGGGAGAGTCTTTTAATAGTGGGTTTATAAAGAGCTTCACTTGTATAAAGTGATGTTTGTAATGATAGTGCTGAGACAGTGCCCCAAATGTTGTCTTTGTATATATTTCAAGATTAATATTTGAGCTGGGCAGCGCTTGTATGTAGCCCTGGCTCCAAATATTGTTTTCAACAATCAGCAAATATAACCAGATTCACTAACAATAGTCCATAGTTTATTTAATATGTGCTTTATCACTTTATATATTAAGCATAAATATCTGTGGCACGGCATTGATAGTTTTGGATGGCCTATATTTTGCCGGATGCCAGTAACCCAATCCAGCATATCCCTACTCTCTGCCCACGGCCATGTCTCTTCTTGACATACTATACATATTACAAGATATTATTTGCACTTCACTTGTTTGGACTAGAATACTGGGTTTGGTGGATAATCCTATATATATATATATATATATATATATATATATATATATATATATATATATATATATATATATATATATATATATATATATATATATATATATATATATATATATATATATATATATATATATATATATATATAGACACTATTTAATTAAGACCTATAACCAGGAACGATTGCGAAAAATGTAACACTAAATCGTCGACCAGGAGTTGAACCTACAGCCCTGTGCTTCCGGGGCAGCGCTCTAACCAACTGAGTTCCAGAATCGCAGGGCCATAGGTTCGATTACTGCCAGAGGACTTAGTTTTCACTTGGATTATTCACCAAACCAAGTACGTAATATTACACCCTGCATTACCTTGTACCAATATGAACCTGTAGTCTTTGTGATTCATAGTGATTATGACAATAAACTATGGAAATTATCTTATATATAAAGGATAAATCTTATTATTTATTTAAAAAATTTCTGGTTTCTGATTGGCTAACAGCCAACTGTGAAATTGTCGTATCAACTCAGTGGCTAACCAAATATGGATTTTTCAAAATGAAAAAATTTGGGACGTGTTTGCGACGAGAATCATATCGACTCGCTGACGCCATTGATATGATGACGATGACGGCTGCTGAAGGACTAACTAGGATTTTTTTTCTTAATACAAATAAAATACAAATGGGTTCCATTTGTTTTGATTTTTTTAATTAAATAAATAATAAAACAATTATTGAATTTGGTTTTTGCACAATATGAAGAATTATCAAGCCCTCAGTTTGCTGTAACAGTTATCAACCTCAGCCTTTGGTTGATAACAGCAAACTTTGGGCTTGATAATTCTTCATGTCATGCTCAACCTCATTCAATAATTGTTAAATATTAATTAAAAACTGTTTTTACATCAAGAGTTAATAGTCCCTTATAACTGACTGAGGAGTGTCTCAGTTTAGGAAGCAAGTCCATTGTTCTAGTTTTTTTATAGGGTATAATTTACTAATTATGATTATATTTTCAAATAAATAATGTTTTCCTTTTACAGATTCCAATATGATGGATCTCTGGTGGCATTTGCATGCTATAGGAAATTGGGCCAAAATCTAATAGGAATTCCTATAGGATTTCCTATAGGAATTCCTATAGGATTTTTTCGTAAGGGCTGGGGCGGTAAATCGCCTTAAATCGCCCAAAATCCCATTAAATCGCGGGTTAAAATGGTCAAATTTCTCTTAAATCGCCTAAAATCGCTTAAAATCATGGGCGTACTGGGTGGGGGTGGGAGGGGGGGGGGAACGGGGTGACCGCCCCCCCCCCAGTTTCTGGCTGGGCGGTCGCCCCCTGGCTTTGTTGGGCAAACAAAGCCAGCCGGGCAATATTCGCTTCACAGTCGGGCAATATTGGTTTATTATAGAAATAAATGGGACAAATTCTGTCAATTTTGTGAGAAATTCTGTCAATTATGTGGGAAATATGCTATCTAATAGGAATTTTTTGTAATCACTTCTCCCCCCCCCCAATCACTTCTTTCCAACCCCTAATATTTTCCTTCCCGTACGCCCATGCTTAAAATCGCATTAACTCGCCAACATGCATTCTGTTTGATACATTCAGTCAATAATGTACTCAAGTTTATCAATTGCTGCTATTTTGCTGGCAAATCATGTATAATCCAGGTGTTTTGCAATCAAAAGTAATGCAACATGGATAAATCAAATAAGTGGATTAGGCTGACAATATTTAGTCACTCAATAGGCTCCAGTCGTTAATAAAAACAGAGCCTTTTTCTGCTTTATGCAGACTTTACAATAATTA